AGCAAGCAAGTAGGTCAGCTAAAGCTCGGGGCAAGCCACAGATCTGGGTGCCGAGTGGACTGTGATGCCGCGGTTGGGACTGTGAATTTCCCGACCCGAACCTAGCTGAGGAGGGGGTCGATTTTGGCGCTCGCCCGCGCCAAATCGCGTCACGACGCGATTTCCGCTGGCGAAATTCACAGTCCATAGCCTTGGCATTTACAGTCCCTCGGGTAGATATCTGGTTACCTCACCCGCGCGTTTGTAGGGTTCCCGAGCGCCTGATGTGCTTCTTTGACCCTCAGATATTACTAACAATAGCATAGATTATATTTGCAAGTATATACAATATTTGAAGCACGGGAGGCGTGTATCTGGCCCTCCAGCAGGCCGGGATGGACGGGGAATGGAGAGGCCGGGGTCCCAAATGGCGTGGGAACTGGGACTGTAATGGACTGTGGCTCCCCCGCCACAGGACCGTAGATCTCACGATAAGGACCGCAGAAGAATATATTATGTCGGTTGGACAGCACCTATCAGGGAACCCTAACCTTGTGACGTGCTCTACTAATAACGTTGTGTGCCTGCTCTGCGCGTTCAGGTTAGCTGTGCATCTCAGGTGGTGGCCTCGTAGAGCGCTAAAACCGCCGATGGTGTCGTACAAGGTCTCAAGGTGACCTACTAGACACATCCATGAGACCGTGCTCGGACCTTCGACAGTTCTGTAAGCGTCAGATGTCAGGCAAGTGCGCTCGCATGCACTCATGTTCTTGGACAAATGCAACTCCACATGTCTTGTTTTCATTTTAGCCGACGATGAGTTTAGAAAAGCACGGTCACTGCGACTTTCACACCATTTGCATCGTGGCCATGGGACTTGCGTCAATATCTGGTGCATCGTCGCCTCATGGACAGAACTTCCTTGCTTACTATATTGCATAGTGCACGCAAAGTCGAGGCCAGCCACCATTGCATTATCCTCAAATATATATGTAGCCCGATGACTCTCGCTCGGGATTACCTAGAATACCCTAACGTTTGCACGCAGGCTACCTCGCCATCCACCTCTCGGGCTTCTCGCTGGGATCATCACTCTGCCACCTCGTTGAACTACTTCCACGGGAAGCAGCAGGCACCTGCGTTTTAGGAAGGACAGCAACGTCGTCAATACCGCTAGCTCGACCCGGACAGGGACCGAGAAGGTGGGTGTGGCAAAGGTGGAGGGAGGACGACCGGACGGCAACGGAATGGCCTTGGGCGTTGGCGTCCATCATATCTCTTTTCTCTACTCCCCTTCACTATTTTTTATGACGGAACAAACGTATCAGTTAAACCTTCTCTGTAACCTGTCGGTCGCGGCCTACAACATGACGTTCTTCTTCGGGTACATATTCGAACCCGTGTTTGATTTCCGTCGGTATTCTCCAAATCTGTCTACTCTCCCACCTCGACGCTGAAGGTGCCGGTGAAGTGCAAACCGACATTCAAGTGAGAAGGGCGCCGAACCTGCTGGAGGTGTTGAACAGGAACGGCTTCGTGTTCTTCCTTCCCGTGTGTCCCTTTTCTCCTCCTCTCTCCTTTCACCCGTTTGCGAGGAATATTGCAGGCAAACGGCCCAATAAGTCTTGCCCTGCGCATGATGTACATGCCTGACACCTCCGAAATGGCGAACCTGCATGCGTATGCGCTTCTGATCAGTGGGCCTGGGTGGATTGCCTGGCGGAGGCGGTGTTTGTAGTCATAGGTTCTGAGTGGTGGAGACTATCTGTGTCGTGTCTTTTGTCCTGTTCGATAAAATGTTCATAGTGCAGCCCTCGTGCATTCGAAGAAATGACGCACATAACATGTTCTTTGTCCTGATGGCTTGTGCCAATCGAAGTCCGTACTTCGTATGGCGGGCTGCGGACCTTGCCATCCACGCCAGTTTATACTGCCCAGCACACTCTCGAGACGAGGATCATCTGGATCAGGGACAGGATAATCTGGCACTGTTGGAGTGACTGTGGGAATCAGAGAGGTGACACCGCTCTGTTTCTCAGGCTGTGGCAGACTGCACGGATTCCCAATTTAGCGATATAGTTTCCTTTTTGGGTTATGTTTATCTTTCGTTCTCTTATCGTAACTCTTTATCACTCTGACAGCTCATATAGCGTTGTGATAGCCTTTTGACGTACCTAGATTGTTGTACTGTACCTTGCAGCTCGAGGACCTTAAGTACACATCAGGAAAAAGGGGAAGGTCTGAAGGTCTAAATGTCTAAATGTGTTTTTGATCCAGGTACAACAATTGAGCAGGGGTGAATTGTTGGGTCCACTGATTCTAATCCACTTCTGTATTCAATAATGTATTGTATCCCATACACAAAATGCACAATATGTCTTGCTAGGGTTGTATGAATACAGGGTCTGAACAACCCAAATTGAGGTTCTAAAGGTCTGACGTGCTGAAAGAATTTTGCGCAATGTGATTGGTCGAGCAGAGTCTGACGCGTCTGAAAAGTCTGATGCTCAGCCTTTTCAGACCCTTCCTTTTTCCCTGATGCAACGCCCCCGTAGATACACCCTCATCTTTGCACTTGTTCGTTAGACGTGCTAAGTGGGGTGAGTTTGTATTTGCGAACCCGTTCATTCATGGACTTACCATTACCTGTAGTTTACTTGTCTGTTCATTCACAGGTAATGCAAGATCTTTGCACTTGTTCGTTAGACGTGCTAAGTGGGTTTACTTGTCTGTTCGTTCACAGACGTGCATCTACGCAAAGGTCGAATATATTATAGTATCTTAACAGGCACTAAGGGTGATTCCAGGCCTGTCTCCAAGTATTGCAAAGGGAATGGAATATATGATGGAAGGATGCTCGCAGCACATGTATGATGATAGGCCGCGTGTGGAACAATTACAATGAAATCATTGTGCCACGAAATTAGAAGTCCACTTGATATCTGCAATCAAACATGCTCTACCATTAACGAAGCCTGATTGGCATCATGCCAGGTCCTGCTTCCGGATTATGAGTGACCTAGGTGTTCCACATATTATGCTCTTGCTTTGTGACATGACCGTTCCGGTCCCATGTTTCATCGTATCTTATGCTGCTGATTGGGCGCATTACAATATATAACGTAACCAATGGATTTACGTTGGAATTCGTTAACTCTGCGATGGGGTCGACGAATTCAACAGTTCTGCGAACAACATGTCGGAAGTTGGCGAGCCTATTCTGCTCATATAGACTACCATAAAATTGATCATTGTTTCAGCGCTTTAATGAGGAATAAGCGACGAACAAGGCATTCCAGCTGCTTGCAGATTGATAGACTATCAATTCAGAAAACCACGTATGGTCGGAGTGGGTCGCAGTGGGTGCCAGGGACGTCGGGAGAAGGTAGAGAAGTCCTGATGGTCTGATTTCTGTCTCTCGGGGACTTGAAATTGCTTGTCCGACGTGGTCCGACTGTAAATTATTTTCACGAAGTGGGCCCATCGATCTGCAAATGGCTGTCACGTCCACGCCAGCCACACTGGTGACTGCGGGGCTGGCGGTGTGACAACTGTCACGTGACACGTTTGGGCGCGGGGACGTGAGAAATACGCATCTCTTTTCCGCCACACCACGCGTTCAGTTCCCTTCCCGAACTGACGGCCACGGCCTTCATCTACACGTGTAGAGACAAGCCACAAAGAATCACTGAATAGAATGGACAATGAACAGCGGAGTTGCAACTCCAGCGACTTTAAAAGCTCGGTGGGTGACTGTGGCCTCTCGTCGCATTCTCTTCAGTTCTGACGATCGCTACCACGCTCATGTCTGAACCTGCCCCGACTCCCCCTCCCGATACACCTCCCCCTGCGTCTCCGGCTCCACCGTTATTGCACGACGATGACCTTCCCGTGGCGGCGGCGTCTCCTCCCTCGCGCGATGTGGGTGGCACTTCACCCGCCGCTGACGCTCCCAACGACGACGGGCGACCTCGCACTCCCACTGGGACCCAACCTCCTGTCCATGTATTCAATACGCCGGTTTCTCTTCCGTCGAACCGGCCGCTCGCCTCTCGAAAACTTCAGAGTCAAGACGTCGATCTGGCGACATTGAAGACAGAGGCCGGCGGTGAGGCATCAAGACTACGAGTTGGACCAGTGTCCATGAAGGACTTCATGCGCCTTACCTTTCGGCGTCACTTTGAAGACGTGGTAGAGAATGCCTTGCAGACGGTATCAGAGAAAGATCAGGCCCTAGTATCAGCAATTCTAGAGGACGTGCCCACGGAGAATGGGCTCGAACGCGATATGTATGACCCTCTGGTATGCCCCAAAACTTATGTCACCTACGTATGAGTATTGCTGAATATTAATGACCACAGGAGAGGGGAATGAACAAAATGTGCTCGCGTCTGTGGAAGAAGAGTTCAATCGAAGTCGAAACCGTCGACCGCAAAAAAGACCCCGACGACCCTGGGATGCCAGACCTTATGATCAAGTCACGTTTTGAAAAGTGCACTTGGCCAACCGCATTGGCGTTCGTGGAAGTCAAGCCTCGGGACAAGCAGGATCCCTTTTATTACACTGACGGCTCCTCCTCAAATGTCGTGCATGGTTACGAAGTTGATGTCTGGGATCAAATTTCCTACTACGCTACGGTCTCGTTCAGGCGCCGGCCTCGCTGCTTTCTCTGTGGCATTGGTGTTTTTGGCAATCGCGCTCGATTCTTTCGCTTCGATCGCTCTTCGATATTGGTATCCGAGGCCTTTGAATACAAGGAGGATCCCCAACCACTCTGGCAATTTTTGGCTGGCTTCGGCGCCGAGGGTTACTATGGTAGTGGCGTGGACCCTACGATAGACTTCGAGGTCCACGGTCACGACGCTCTCCTACTGGAAAAGATTCGAAAGGCAAGAGAGAAGCGCCTGCTCTCAGAAGAAGCTGAGAAGCTAAACGATGACACCCTGAGGGCGCAGAGCAGCACCATCAGAGTTCCGTCCAAGGACGGTGGGAAACTCGAGCAGTACATCACCGTCGGCCCACCTTTGGTGACCTCGACAGCGCTCCTTGGTCGCGGGACGTGCACCTGGCTCGCCTTCCCTGTCCCCGGGACCGTTGAAAATCCGGAGCGCAGCAACGAAGACCACTTCGTAATCATCAAGGATTCTTGGCGGGACCCTACTCGCAGACTCGAGGGCGATATATACGACATTATCCATGGCGGCAAGGATCACGTTGATCACGTTCCCGGCGTGGCGAGGAAGCGCAGCGATGTAGATCTTGTCGAGCCGCCTGACCCGAACAACAAGATGCATCGGACGCTCGCCCACGTACTGAACACCCATATACTGGATGACAATGCACCTCGCAAGTGCCCTCCTCGCGTCCATCACCGGTGCATCCTCAATTCCGTCGGGATCCCTCTCAGTCGGTTCACATGCACGCGCGAGGCATTGGAAGCGATCTATGACTCGCTCTTAGGTGCGTACTCCCCTATGTTTTACTGCTCCGGTCTAGCTGACACGTCAATAGGTCATGAACACATGAGCAAGAAGGATATACTCCATCGGGATATCAGCGTGAATAATATGATGATCAGCGCTTACCCCGAGGTGGAGAAATGCAAAGGCTTTCTCATTGATGTCGAGTACGCTACCGTGGTTGGGGAGCCCGGGAGCGAGGGGCATCTCCGTGAAATCACGGTATGAGCCCCGTTCGCTGCGTTTTGTTGCAAATGCTGAAGTGTCCATCTGCAGGGAACCACACAATTTATTTCCACTGCTCGACTTCGGCAAGGCGAGCAGTTACTCGTTCATGAAACTTGGCACGACCTGGAATCGTTCTTCTGGTCTACGACGTACCTCTTCATTCATCACAGGCCGCATACTTTACCTGACAAGTGGATCACTGGAGTCTTTGCCATTTGCCATGAATCCATAAGGCTTGACTTGGTCAAAACGCATGTGGAGACGATGCAAATTCTGTGCGGCCCTGACGACAACAGCGAAGGTGGCGAGCGAGCCCGAGCTCAACAGGAGAACGCGCCACTAACCTCCTTGATTCACGAGTTCGCGACACTAGTGGCCAGCCACTACCAGGATTCGCCGTTCGTTAAGAAATACTACCGCAAGAATCCCGAAGACTTTTTCCGGTTGACAACTCATGAGGAATTAAAGAAGGCCTTTTGCAAAGCTCTGAACTCCGATCGCTGGCCTTCGAACGATGGCGCCACCCCCTTCCGCCTTATAGAAACACCTAAGAAAGCTGCTCGGGCCTCGAGTAACGTATCGGAGAGTAAAGGATATTCTGGGTGAGATGGTCGTCGTCGTTCTTGATGCATTCGGGTCTTGGTTCGTAAGTAGATGTAAGGATGGGCGCGGGTGGCGGGTACCACCGCGGTATTGGGCCCGCGGGTCGCTCGGGTGCGGGCTCGGGTCTGAAATCCCTCGAACCGCGCGCTACCGTGAAACCGTCCCAACGGGTCTCGGATCCCCGGGGTCTGGTGGAGGGTACAATATTTATACGAGATTTGTGATTTTTGAAGGGTAAATGCAGCAAAAACACGGGAAGTTGGTTCCCGGTGATACTGGAGTCAGGTACGGCACTGTCAAATCCAGGTGTACAAAGAAATTGGCCCAACAGCACCTTCAATAGGCTGCCTTGAACCTGCAAATCCCTACCTCGGGCATCGGCCAAGGGCACCCAGCGACCCGCGGTCTCTCGGGCGGGTTTTGTACCCTTACCCGCTGCGGGTGCGGTACAGGCGGGTACGGGTCGGGGTGACCGTGGCAGAGCCGCGGTGTCACCCGCGCCCAACCTTAAGTAGATGTGCTGTTCAGGACCTCTGTGTTCCGCCGATATGTCACGTAACCACGCTCTCCAGTATCACATGCTTTTTCCTCTGCTCGTTGGGAAGTACTTGCGCGACACGATGCGTATCACACCTTCACCCCCTCCTAATGTTGCCCCTGTCTACCGCACCCCCCGTCGTATCGCGGCGACAAAGAAGAGTTCCGTAGTGAGTATGCGTGGGTTGCCTGTGGCAAGCGTTAAATACTACATCCTCTGCGTACCTTATCGTCACGTCTGCACTACGAAGAAGCTAGTGACGCAGCTTACCTTTATGGTAATTACGCCGATACCACCAGGCTCCTAGAACCATCCGTCTCGCGTCCTCGATCCTCTCTGCTAGGGCGTGTGTGAAGATGTTATCTAATATGGCTTATATAATGTAATTTATTTATAGCTGTATTTCCTGATTAAGCCGAACGGTGAGGATGAGGACGCTATGAGACGGCTGGCCCAACTCGTCGTCCGAGGTTTCACCGGAATTATGTAAGGTAGCTAAGCGACTAACGACGCGTCGGTTTACTGTTGGTTTATTGACATTCGTCGACTGCCCGATTCGGATTGAGGCGTGCTCTTCGAGTATGTCCTCTGCTCATCCGCGCACTGACGGCGTCGTGGACTTAAAGATGTCCATATCAGAGTATGCTATATCTGTATTATTGATGACATGCACGTTCACCAACTGCACTGGGAACATCCCAATTCAACAAACAAAACAATGAATGACTATTTACCACAACAGTCTAGATAGGGCAAGCTGCTCTGGTCTCTCTCTTTCTCTTTGCATACCAAAGCCAAAGGAGACTAACTATACACACAATATTATAACATCTCAGGCTACTCTGCAATGAAGAACTTGGTGCTTGGACTTTGCATTGTATGTAAATTAATCTATTCATCAAAAATATAGCAACAGACCCCTAGACACTCGTGCATTATTGTTTCACTATCTAAGAAATGGCTTGCTATATTACTGTCAGATTTTATCCCCGTCCCCCCGCCGTCAATGTGCAGACAAGCAGAGGACATACTCGAAGAGCACGCTGATATGCACTGACACACAACAATCACCAAGGACCAAAGGAAATAAACCTAAACCCCGTGATATGGGTGAAGGCGGTCCGAGACAACTGAAGGGTATTTAATAGTTCGAGGGGGAAAGGAGGAGTAAGACGCCGTAGGGTAGTCCGTAGGAAGACCTAGAAAAATAAAACAAAACCTTGACGCCTGAAACAAACACTAAGGGACGCTCCGGAGTATTTATCTCCGGAAAGTCGCAGACAAAGTCGCAAACCACGAAACCGAGTGTAGGTTCGGGCCCACGGGAGTAGAAATTGCTAGAGAAACTTGGTTAATTTTATTTCGCTATGTGAGACTCACCGGAGCTAATTGGATCGATGGCGGAGATAATTCACTCGACGAGTCAGGCCTATTGGCAAAGCTAAGATCGGTTATAATTCGCTAAGTTCGACGCTTTCGAACTTCTCGGGTCGCTGAGATCGTAACTCTAATTCTCTGAGATGGTGAAGTCGAAACTTATTTTT